CAGACTCGAGCCTGAATAAAGACCCTCGTGTGTTTGCATCGGAGCTGGTTCTTTGTGGTCTCTATATCTCTCTCATTAGGGTCCCGGGTTCAACAAGATTGTTGCTCATCTTGTCTTTAAACTTTAGAGTGACTATCACTCCCTACTGAGATGACTCCATCTATTATATGGCACGTAGTCTCTTATTCATTCTTAAGTTCTCAATCTCAGCCATTTCTAAGAAGTCTGATCTGGACAACTCTTTTGTCTCCCATCCTGAGGTATGTATTATTTCTGTGTTTTTTCCATTCTTCTTATACCTTTTTGTTTCCAGTACATCTTCAGTGGATGTACAACACCTGGAATCTGTTTTGTTCATAATAAATATCTTTTAATATATACACTCATTTAGTCATTGAAAACATTTAGTCAAGGTATTTTAAGGAAATGAGGTTTAGTATTACTAGTAATATTGTTCTTCTGTCAAGCTAACCAATAGAAAGTTTTAAAAATCAATAGAAAGAATTTAATTGCAATATGAAAAATTGATAGCAAAAGCCTAAACACAGATTCACATAGTTTGCAGAACTTTTTTAATGTTTGTTTGTGTGCAAAATCCAAGACACTGTAATCTTTTATTACAGCTCATAAAATTTTCATTTCTACCGCTGTTCTTATTAGCATTGCAATTGATTTTTCTGTTCTTAGATTCCTGAGCAAACTAGTTTTTAAAACAGTTAATTTATAATGACTATACAGGATATTGTTTATATAATAAACACTGTAAACAAAAAGTCAAATGGAGAGTGACTATCAATGAGGGTCTGTCTGTGCTGCTTTTTCTGAAAGAACCCTTAATTATTGAAAGATTATGGTGGGATTTGATGCTCAAAAAACACAATGTAGATCAAGGATTTTATTTATTTGATATTAAAAATACAATTTTGATATAAAAAATGGTACTAACCCTGCAGTTATATACCTCTGCTTGTGCAGTGGAGCAAGAATTTCCGTCTAGACTCTACAGGTAAGTTTGCTAAACACCCTTAATATAATACTGCCAGCCAGGCTCGGTGTCTCAGCCTGTAATCCCATGCCTTGGGAGGCTGAGGTGAGTGGATTGCCTGAGCCCGCAGGTTCGAGACCCGCCTAGGCAACAATAAATCAAAAATCAGCTGGGCGTGGTAGCATGCGCCTGTAGTTCCAGCTACTTGGAAGGCTGAGGCGGAAGGATCGCTGGAGCCCAGCAGGTCGAGGCTGCGGTGGCCGGGAGCGGCCACGGCACTCCAGCCTGGGCGACAGAGTGAGACTCCGACTCAAAAAAAAAAATGTATATATAATACTGCCACCTGGTAAGGTGAAGAGAAGGAGAAAGTTAGCTTCAGTTGAAAGTACTGAACTCAGTGTCTCAGCGCTTGGCATTCTGTAAGAGTGAGTGATCCAGATGAAGTGGTCACAAACAAAATGAATTGAATGCAACCACAATGCTACATGATTATATACAATGAAGGACTATGCAAATATCTGTACATAAACAGTTCAGAATAAAACAGGAATGAATATTTTTAGTAATCACTAATTTGTTGCTACTTAAAATATGGAGCTTTAGTAAAAAGAAAACATGAAAAAGACAAAAAGTTTTACAGTCACAATTGGGGCAACACAGATAACTCTTGAATAAAGGGATATTTTAAATGAATATGCAGGGAAGAGAACTAGATGAAGAACATCAAGGGCAAGCACATTAGAACATGGTAATAACAACTAACATCTATGAATTACACATCATGTGTCAGTCATAATTCCAAGCGTGTCTCGTGCATCAATTTAGGTAATCCTTGCAACCTTCTGAGGTAGGTGTTATTTTGATCATCTCCATTTCATATGAGATGAATGGAAAGGGTTCAGTTATTTATCAGGAATGAACAGAAAGTCACAGCACAGCCAGACCTTAAGTTGAGGGGGACTGGATCTAGAACCCACACTCTCTATACAAGCCTTCACTTCTAGACTGAGGGCACACTTAGAGAAAGCAGAACACCCAAAATGAGGCTCAGTACAGCTTGTAGAAAGGACCCATGAAGCACTAGCCCGGGCAAGCAGATGAACAGGGATAAAAACTTCACCCCTTAGGCAGAAAGTTTCAAGTTTGCTCTTCCTTTCATCTTCACTAAGTGAGGCATAAAGAGCCATTATAAAAGAACTAGAAAAGTTGAAGCATTTTTAAGAGTGGGAAATTAGTCACAGATTGAGAGGCAATATTGGATAAAAACAACATCCAGTCTCCAAAGTATCAGTTCTCTCATCTCTGTTGAGTAAATAGCCTGAATTTTTACAGCACTTGTAGATGTGATTATGAAATCCATCCATGTCCCTCTAGAAATCAAGGAGAATTAGACATACTGGAATGCCAGAGCTCAACAAATATTTGGAAATGTTTCAAAGGGGAGGAAGCTAGACTTCAGAAATTGTATTCATGTGTGAGGGGGGATTTTTAAAGACCCGCAATTTATTTGTAAAGAACTGTGTATTTATTCTTACACATTTAAACTTTAGTCACCCTCAAAGTACTCTCCGTTTGATGTAGTACACCTATTGAGATGCTTTTTCCATTGCTCAAAACAGTTTTTGAACTTGTCAATGCTGATGTCTTTTAGCGCTTCTGCCATTTTCTGTTTCACCTCTTCCACATCAGCAATATATTTCCCTCTGGGGACTTTTTTTCATTTGGGGAAACAAAAGTCACTCAGGATGAGATCAGGTGAATAGGGAGGGTGGGGCATAGAGGTCATGCCAGTTTTTTTTTTTTTATCCAAAACTGCTGAACACTCAGCGCAATGTGGGCAAGTGTGCTTATAAATCACCCATCATGAAATGGACAAGCAAGTTGAAATAATCTCCAAAAAAAATTTACCAAAGCTGAATGCAACCTATCATAACACTAGCTAGTTCACTGATGCCAGTGGGTTCCTAGAACACTAACCTAGTGGAGAAAGCTTGTACTACAAGGGGTCCACCCTCCAAAAGATAATTCGGGGGTTTTTTGGTGGGTACCCTCTCATATCTTAAAACATAACCCTTGAAATGTTAAAAATATAATTTAATAGTATATCATAAATATAATCAGTTGGTATGCTGTAGACTACTAATTGGTTTGTTTGTGAACATTTCACTCATTCAAAAATATGTACTGAGTGCCTAATACGTACCTACTTTACATTTTTGTTGTTGTTGGAGGAGAGGTAAGTACAGGCAAAAAGTATTCATACATAGAAATGTCAAGCAGGTTAAGTATTATAGGATGCACCCAAGTTGGGGTAAGGGAGGTCATTCATAGGATGATTGGGGAAGGTCTCTGATTAGATGACTTTTGAGAAGAGACCTTTTAAGAAAAAAGAGGGACATTAGAGGATGTATGAGAAGAGATCACCAAAAAACAGAACTGTCTTTCTGGAGGGTGGACTCCTCATAGCCCAGGCTTCCTTGCACTACAGGTAAATGTCTTAGGAACACAAAAGCATCAGCGTACCAGCTGGCATTGTTGTGAGAGGCTGTGTTCAGCTTCAATGAATTTTTTTTTGGAGATTCTTTTAATGCATTTGCCCACTTCATGATGGGTGGTTTACTAGCGCACCTGCCCACACCACACTGAGTGTTCAACAGTTTTTAACGACAAATGGCATGACTCCTGTGCCCTACCCTCCCTATTCACCCTATCTCACCCTGAGTGACTTTTTTTGTTTGTTTTCCTGAAAGAAAAAAAAACCTTCAAAGGGAAATGTATTGCCAATATGGAAGAAGCGAAACACAAAATGGCAGAAATACTAAAAGGTTTCAAAATGATGAGTTCAAAAACTGTTTAGAGCAGTGCAAAAAGTGTCTCAATATGTTTATTGTATCAAACGGCGAGTACTTTGAAGGTAACTGAGGTTTAAGCATGTACAAATAAACATAAACTTTTTTATAAATTAATTCGGGGGATTTTTGGGTCTCCTAGAAGTGAAAGTTCAAAAGTCCTGTGGTAGAAGGGTTCTTGGTGAGTTCACAGAACAGGACAGAGGCCCATGTGGTTGGCTTGGAGGATGAGAAGAAGGTGACAACTGAGAAAGAACACAGGTCCTGATTATGTGGGCCCTGTAGGTCATTACAGGGACTTAGCTTTTGTAGTGAGAGAGATGAAAGGCCCTGAAGATTTGAACAAAGCAATGACATTATCTAAATTATATTTTATTAAGATTATTATTTTTGCTTTGTGGAAAATGGAGTCAGAGATTGGGAAGCAGAAAGAGCAATTAAAAGGCTTCTGTTACAATCTAGGTCAGATATACCCCCTTCCCCCTCCCTTCATGGCAAGGTGTCAATCTTGTTCACACTCCTCTTGCCAAGTGTAGTGCCTGGCATAAAAATGATGGTTGAATGAAACCTTTGGCAATGGCAACTAAAACTGCAGTCATATGATACCAGGGGAGGAACTTGTCCATATTAAAAACATAGTTTATGATAAGAGTCACGCTTCACAGGTGAAAAGAGGAATGCAAATGGAAAGAGACACCATTTCAAACCTTAAGATATCTGTTTTGCCTGCTGCAGGTTTTCTTAAAACCCACAAGCAAATCCCCTTCCCTTCTGTACCCACACAGGTCCAGATGGGCATGCAAAACTGAACTTGGGAAGCTGACACCCTGTTTTGTTTGCATCCCTGATGCTGCACTGTGGCCCTCTGGGAAGGCTGGTGTAGAGGAACACCTGGATATATTAAAAGCTTCTGTGTCACCTGAGAGGTAGAACCATCAGTCTCCCACCTTTACAATAGACTCTTGTGTGTATCCAAGAGATATTCTAAAGCAACAACATCCCTTGAAGTTTCCTGCCAGAACTTTTTATGAATACACTTGGGATAGAGCTAGGGCAAGAGCTGGAGCTTTGTGAAGGCAAGGTTCTGACTCGGAATGTGCACTTACCCTTCTCTGCTGGGCGGTATCTGAATCTTAAGTAGATTAGCCACCTAGAGAAGAGACATCATGCTGACTCTGATTCCTGTTTTAACTGTGTCCTATGAAGTCAAGAGTGCGTTTCTGTTCATTTCAGTCCTGGAGTTTGCAGTGGGGCTTCTAGCCAATGCCTTCATTTTCTTGGTGAATTTTTGGGATGTGGTAAAGAGGCAGCCACTGAGCAACTGTGATCGTGTGCTGCTGTGTCTCAGTATCACCCGGCTGTTCTTGCATGGGCTGCTGTTTCTGGACGCCATCCAGCTTACCCACTTCCAGCATATGAAAGACCCACTGAGCCACAGCTACCAAACCATCATCATGCTGTGGATGATCATAAACCAACTCAGCCTCTGGCTCACCACCTGCCTCAGTCTCCTCTACTGCTCCAAGGTAGTCCGTTTCTCTCACACCTTCCTGCTCTGGTTGGCAAGCTGGGTCTCCAGAAAGATTTCCCAGATGCTCCTGGGTATCATCCTTTCTTCCTGTATCTGCACTGTCATCTGCTTTGGGGAATTTTTTAGCAGACCTCACTTCACAGTCACCGCTATGCTCCTCATGAATAACAATACAGAATTCAATTTTCAAATTACAAAGCTCAGTTTATTTTATTCCTTTCTCTTCTGCTATGTGTGGTCTATCCCCCCTTTCCTAATTTTTCTCGTTTCTTCTGGACTGCTGATTGTCTCTCTCAGGAGGCACATGAGGACAATGAAGGCCCATACCAGAGACTCTTGTGACCCCAACCTGGAGGCCCACATTAAAGCCCTCAAATCTCTTGTCTCCTTTTTCTGCTTCTATGTGGTTTCATTCTGTGCGGCCCTTATCTCAGTGCCCCTACTGATTCTGTGGCACAGCAAGATAGGGGTGATGGTTTGTGTCGGCATCATGGCAGCTTGCCCTTCTGGGCATGCAGCCATCCTGATCTCAGGCAGCAGCAAGTTGAGGAGAGCTATAGAAACTATTCTGCTCTGGGTTCAGAGTAGCCTGAAGATAAGGGCTGGCCCCAAAGCAGATCCCAAGACACTGTGCTCAGGACGGACATGAAATAGGCTCCTCTGGAATACGTCTTTGATTCTTAAGAATACACCTCTGATTCTTCAGGAATGCACCTCTGCTTCTCAGGATTATGCTTCTCATTCCTCATGACGCCCTCCAATTCCTTCTGCTAAAACACAACCGAAAGTCTTTCCATTTTGTGTCACTGAACTTACCCATAGAAGAATAGCATAATGAAAGCTTTATACATGACATAGGTAAGTATAATGGTGCTGGTGCCTCAGGTTTGCTTTGATAAAATGAGAAAAATAGAGAGGTATTCAGGGTAAATCCTGTATATACTATACTTTATTATTGCTTGGTTTGAGCCAAACTATGAAAAATCACCTCTTCTGAAATAATATGTAAATCTCGAGATAATATATTTGACTTTTAACATGACTTCTACACCATTTCCTCAAAACTATTTGAAAATATTCAGTACTGCAACAGTTATATAATTCTCTCCAAACTCTACAATTTTCATGGAAAGAAACAAAAAGACAAACTTGGAAAAAACATTTGTCACAACAGTACAAAATTCCTGCAGTGCTAGAGGGTAGGGATTATTTTGTCTGAAAATACATTTATTCAGAAATGTACTTTGAGCTGCTTTACAGTGAGGGAACAGAGGAAGATATTTTCTCATTAACTGCCCAGGATATCTGAGTCATGCATGGGCCTTCTGTCTCTGCCCCATTTATCCTCGAAGACGATGCTTTGCCTGGTACCAAGCATTGGTCACTCATGTTGGGGAACTCACCAACATGGCCTAACTGAAAGATTCAGCATCCTCTGTCTCCCTGAATTAGAACTTAGCCAGGAAGTGTTTCCTTAAATCATGTCTTAAAAGACTTGAGAAAGAACAGGTATACCAGACATTTAAATCCTAATCTGCTTCAAAGTCATAGCAGGTTACTATCGAAGTTCTTAGCAACTACGAGTGCTGCCAGAGAACTGCTTTCCTCCTCTCAGGTACTTGGTCCTGAGAGGAGAACCAATGTTAGAACGGATTCTTCTTCTCAGTTTTCCCAAAGTAGCCATTTCTTCACCTCCAGTAGCTACAAAAATTGCTTCTTCATCTGGCTTCCTTGCACAAAAGTGTCCTAGACTTCCTTCAAAGACAGTGGTCCTCACTCTTGGCTGCACATTAAAATTACCTGAGGAGATTTTAAAAATCTCAATGCTGAGTCCACATATAGCAAACTAAAAAAAAATCAAATCAAATTAATGGAAGTGGAATGAATTTTTTGTTGTTTAAAGTTCCCCAGGTGATTTCACAGTACAGCCAATGTTGATAGCCACTACTCTAGATGCCCTGATACTTGAGCTAGATGAAGTGATCCTCCCACCAAACTGTATTATGACCATTCATTTCCACCTTCCCCTAGAGTACTTGGAGGAGTCGTTATAAAAAAAAGCAGACAACATTCCCTTTTACTTTCTCTCTTCTAAACAGGTCCTCATTACATCATATTGCTCTTCACAGCTTTTACAAAATATTTAATTTAAAAAAAATTAGTTTTAGGTTTCTAGCAAAATTGAAAGGAAGTTACAAAGATATCCCATATACCCCTGCCCTCACACGTGCATAGCCTCCCTTATTATGAATATATCTGCCCCCCCATCAATGTGGTTCATTTGCTACAATTTATGAAACTTCATTAACTCAATATAATCACCAAAGTCCACAGTTTAAGTTAGGGTAAGCTATTTGTGTTGTATATTCTATGGGTTTGGACAAATAAATAATGACATGTGTCCACCATTACAATATCCTGGAGTATTTTCTCTGCCCTAAAAATCCTCTGTGCTCCACCTATTCATCCATCCTTTCTCAAATCCTGCCAACCATTGATCTCTTTACTGTCGCCATAATTTTGCCTTTTCATAATGTAGTGTAGTTGAGATCATACACTATGTAACTTTTTTAGATCACTTTCTTTCATTTAGTATTACGCACCTAAGTTTTCTTCATATGTTTTTAAGGCTTAATGGCTCATTTATTTTTAGTGCTGAACAATAATATTCCATTGTCTGAATGTATCACAGTTTATCCGTTTACCTGCTGAAAGGCATCTTGATGGCTTCCAGGGTTTGGCAATTATGAAAGTTGCTGTAAACATCTATGTGCATGCTTTTGTGTAGAGGAGTTTTCAGCTTTTCTGGGTAGACATCAGGGAGTACAAGTGATGGATCATATGGTTGAAGAATACTGAATTTTTTAAGAAACCGCCAAACTGCCTGAACAAATGGCTGAACAACTGTGCATTATCACCAGCAGTGAATGAGAATACCTATTCCTTCACATCCTCACCACCCTCTGGATTTTGGTCATTTTAATAGACGTTCAGTGGTATCCTGTCATTGTTCTATCTTGCATTTCCTGATGGCACATGGCTTTATTTTTAACATTATGTTTTTGAGATTCATCTATAATTATAGATAGCCTATTGAAATTCTAATTATTACTGTATGAAATCTAGATGCCAATTTGGAGAAAATTGACTACTTAAAAATATTCAATCTGACAATTTAAGAATATGATATGTTTCTTCATTTATTTATCTTTAATTTATCTCAGCAATGTTTTGTGGTTTTTAATGCAGAGGTATTTTAATAAATTTTCCCTAAGCATTTAATATATTATATTGTCATTGTATAGAGAATTGTTTTAAGTTTATTCAATCATTTGCTGCCAATATATAAAAATAAAATAGCTTTTTGTATGTTAACCATGTATCATATGACTTTCCTAAATTAATGTATTGGTTCTACAGTTATTTGAAGATTCTTTGAAGTTTTATACTTACTATGTCAGCAGCAAATAAAAACAATTTTACTTCTTCCTTCTCAATCTTCATGCTCCATTTTTAAATAAGTAATTTTACTGGCTAAGATCTCTAGTATAACATTAATCAGATTTAATGTGAGTATACATTCTTGTCTTATTTCTATTTTTAGAAAGAAATTCGCTAGTTTATCATCAGGTATAATGTTAGCCGTAGATTGTAGATTTCCTTAATTAGATTAAGAAAACCCATTTTTGCTATTTTTTGGATAATTTTCTGACAATTTTTATCATCAGTGGTGCTGAATTTTATTAAAAGCTTTTGTTTTTGTATTTATTCAGAATTTCTATGGTTGCTGTTCTCTATATTGTTAACATGGTAAATCTACCATTGATAAAAACATTTAAATAAATAAACCTGCATTCTTGGGATAGACCTCACTTAGATCATAATGTATTTTTTATGTATTGTTCTATTTTATTTGCTAATATATTATTTAAAATCTTTACATGTACATTTATGTGAATTACTGATATTTATTTGTATTTACTCCATATCTTTGCCAAGTTTTAGTGAGAAGGTCATTCTGGCCTCATAAAACAAGTTAGAAAACATTTTCTCTGTCTTTATTTTCTTAAAACTTTGTGTAAGATTGGTATTATTTCTTCCCTAAGTATCTGATATCATTTGCTAGGGAAATCATTTAGACCTGAAATTTCTTATTCAGGAAGATTGCTTGGATTTTTTTGTTTGTTTGACTTTTGATTGTGTATAATTGCAATTCATTTAGTAGATATAGTAATATTAAGATTTTTAAAGTTTCTTCTTGTGTCTATTTTGGTCACATTTTTTGGAAGTCCATTTTATCTGTTTTTTATATTGCTGCCATAAATTTGATTATAATATTCCTTATTCACATCTTGATGTCTGCAGTATCTATTTTGCTATCTCCTTCTTTATTCCCAGTGTTGATTATTTTGTTGTTTCTTTTTGTTTTTCACTCTAGCTAGTGATTTATCAACTCACCAATCTTTCCAGGAAATCAGCCTTTGGTTTCATTTGATTTTCTTTACTTTTTTTATTTTCTCCTATTTATTTTCTTTTTCTTTTTTTTTCTTTTTGAGTTGGAGTCTCACTCTGTCGCCCAGACTGGAGTGCAGTGGCCACTCCCAGCCACCGCAGCCTCGACCTGCTGGGCTCCAGTAATCCTTCCACCTCAGCCTCCTGAGTAGCCGGAATTACAGGTGCGCGCTACCATGCCCGGTTGATTTTTTGATTTATTGTAGGGATGAGGTCTCACCTGCCCAGGCGGGTCTCGAACCCACGGGCTCAGGCAATCCACTCACCTCAGCCTCCCAAAGGCGTGGGATTACAGGCTGAGCAACCGAGCCCAGCCTATTTTCTATTATTTATTATTGTCTACCTTCTACTGTTTTCTTTTTTTTGGTTTAGCTTCTCTTCCTGTTTTAGCTTCTTACCCCAGAAAATTAGATTACCAATTTTTAAAACTGTTTTCTATTTTAATATAAATATTTAGGGCTTTAAATTTCCTGATAAACATTTTTTTGTTGCATTTCACAAATTTTGATATGTTGCATTTTCATTTTCACTCAATTTGAATTTTTATCTAAGTACACTTATATTTGTTGTTTAACCCTTGTGTTATTTAGAATTGTGTTTATTTTCAAGGATTTTGGACTTCACTAGTTGTCTTACTGGTACCAGTTTCTAATTTAAATTCACTGTGATCAAAGAACATATTCGGTGATATTTCAATCCTTTGAAATTTACTGAGACTTATTTTATGGTCCAGTATATTGTATATCTTTATTAATTATCCATGCATACTTGGAAATAATACTTCGTTGTTGACTGTAATGTCCCATAGCTATCAATTAGGTCAAGATGCTTGACAGTGTTATTTAGCTCTTCTGCATTCTTACTGACTTTTGGTCTTAATTTTATCTCAAATACTGAGAGAAGAGGGCAAAAATCGTTCACCATAATTGTGGATTTATTTACTTTTCTCTGAAGTTTTGTCAGTATTTGCTTCATCTTTTTTTGATGCTCTATATTATGTTCTTACATATTTATAATTGATTTAATGAATTGACATAATTTTATTTATTATTATTTATTATTATTATTATTGAGTTGTATTCTCACTCTGTCGCCCAGATTGGAGTGCAGTGGCCGCTCCTGGCCACTGCAGCCTCG